AGCTGCAATATTTACATATGAATGGGCCGCGGTTTATTGATATGCAAATTACCGCGGCACATTCATATGTTAATATCCCGGCCGGTACCGGGACAGTGCAGGCTGCAGGAACAGCACCAGCAAGCTTCGGAAAGAGTAGAGAGGGCTGGGGGAGGAGGTGTTTCTCTGGCCTTCCCCACCAGCGCCCACTAGTGTCTACTGTGTGGTAGTGCCGGCTCTGCTCGCTACCACACAGTAGACACTGCTCTGCACAGAGTTGGCATAGCGGACCGGCCCTGGCTGCTGTGCGGGCCACATTACAAGGTCCGGCGGGCCGGATTCGGGTGTGTGTGTGTGTGTATATATGTATATGTATGTCTATCTGTATATAGTGAATGGATAGGATGCAGTCTCTGTGATGTCACTAGTCTCTAGTGAATGGATAGGATGCAGTCTCTGTGATGAAACCAGACTCTAGTGAATGGATAGGATGCCTTTTCAGTTAAGTCATTGGTCTCCAGTAAATGCATCAACTGCATCCTCAGTGATGTCATCGGTCTCTAGTGAATGTATAGGTTGCATTCTCAGTGATGTCACCGGTCTCTAGTGAATGGATAGGTTGCATTCTCAGTGATGTCACCGGTCTCTAGTGCATGGATTGGCTGCAATCTCAGTGATGTCACTGGTCTCCAGTAAATGCATCAACTGCATCCTCGGTGATGTCCTAGGTCTCTAGTGAATGGATAGGCTGCATTCTCTGTGATGTCACTGGTCTCTAGTGAATGGATTGGCTGCATTCTCAGTGATCTCACCGGCCCCTAGTAAATGGGTAGGCTGCATTCTCGGTGATGTCATCGGTCTCTAGTGAATGGATAGGCTGCATTCTCAGTGATGTCATCGGTCTCTAGTGAATGGGTAGGCTGCATTCTCTGTGAGGTCATCGGTCTCTAGTGAATGGATAGGCTGCATTCTCTGTGATGTCATCGGTCTCTAGTGAATGGATAGGCTACATTCTCAGTGATGTCACTGGTCTCTAGTGAAAGGATAGGCTGCATTCTCAGGGATGTCACAGGTCTCTAGTGAATGGATAAGCTGCATTCTCTGTGATGTCACCTGTCTCTAGTGAATGGATAGGTTGCATTCTCAGTGATGTCACCGGTCTCTAGTGAATGGCTTGGCTACATTCTCAGTGATGTCACCAATCTCTAGTGAATGGATAGGCTCCATTCACAGTAATGTCACCGGTCTCTATTGAATGGATAGGCTACATTCTCAGTGATGTCACGGGTCTCTATTGAATGGATAGGCTACATTCTCAGTGATATATCACTGTCTCTTGTGAATTAATTAGCTGTTATCCTCGGTGACATCACTGGCCCCCGGCGGATGGACAGGCTGCACATATAGTGATGTCAATGGTCTCTAGTGTAACGAACTACATTGGATCCTAGTAAATGTATGGGCTGCAATATCAACGATGACAGTGTTCTTCAGTGAATAGATAGCCTGCACTTTCAGTGATGCCTCTGGCCTCCCGTGAATGGATAGGCTGGTATTGTCCGTGATGTTACTGTCTCCAGTGTATTGATGAGCTGCATTCTCAATGATGTCACGGGTATTTAGTGAATGGCTAGTCTCCATTATTCAGTGACATCAATGGTCTTTAATAAATAGTCTGCATGCTCAGTGGCCTGCAGTGAATGGATGACCTCTTTTGTCAGTGATCTAAATTGAATAGATTCACATGCAAATTTGCCTACAAAAAAATCAGAGGCAGACATTTTGAAAAAATTATACTTTTTCATATATGGACACCTACATAATCATCAGCTTTTACCTCTGAAAAGTTGTATAATTAATCCCGCTTTAATTAATCACCTTGTAGCTGTTTGATGTGGATTTTGTGAACCTGGTATTATTTTTAGGAATCTCAAGTGGCTGAAATCAGTCGGAATTTTCTGTGTGATTAAATGTAATCACTTGAAGCTGCTAAAGTGCCGGCATTTGCTGTGCCATTAAAAGTCTGTTTATTAGCAGAGGATAACTTGCAGAGCGTGTTGTGCGCCGGGTATTGTTCCTGGAATTAAAATGTTATCATTAGGGTGTTTTATCTACTGCTTCCCGCAAGAGCAACCTTTGCAGTGCGGGGGTAGCCCTACTGCAAGGGTTAATCTTAGGAATGCACCGATACCGAGTATTTGGGTGAGTCCTTGTACTCTCCCAAATGCTCCCGATAACGGAACTTCTGGTATGAGGAAGCCGGGCGGCGAGTCATTACACACCGTCTGCCTTCCTGTTTGTCCGGGAAGCCAGCTCCATGCTCCCTCATCACCAGAGAGCATGGAGCTGGCTTCCCAGCCAGTCAGGAAGCCGGTGGTTTGGGCGGTAATAATAATACCCTCCTGCTTCCTAATTGGCCGGCTCCATCATCGCTTGGTGAGGAGGGAGCATGGAGGCGGCTTCCCAGCCAATCAAGAAGGCCGATGGCGTATAATGACTCTCCTTCCGGCATCCTGATTGGCCAGCTTCCGACCAGTCAGGAAGCCGGGCGGCAAGTCATTACCCGCCCCCCCAGCTTCCTGATCGGCCAGAAAGCCGATTCCATGCCTTCTCATTACCTGGTGACGAGAGAACATGGAGCTGGCTTCCTGACTAATCAGGAAGCCATGCGGCGAGTCATTACACGCCGCCCAGCCTCCTTAATGGGACTTCCAGTATCGGGATTTGGTATCGGCGAGTACCGGGGAAAAAAATCGTACTCAATGCCGAAAAACCGGTATCTGTGCATCACTAGTTAATTTTTTTTTTAATAACTGGAGTTCCTCTTTAAGAACCCTTATCTGGAAAGAAGATGGCCACAATGTATCGACAATTATCCCAATAACAATGCCTAGCGACCCATAAATGAAAACTGTTAGCTCATTCCCATATCATTGCACCTTCACAACCATGACGCTTGGTCGAATACTATTGGGTAGCGGTAGCAGTGCCATGGTGGGATGGATTATCTTGGCCATGATTGTTGCTATCACTGAATTCCCACTTGCCAAATTTTTGATTGTTTGGTACTAAATAGGGATTTCAATTTTGTTTTGGGATATCTGCCCCTAGTGTATATACCAATATATTTTAGTTATATTTTTATATGTATAATGGGATTATATGGTTACACATAATCTGTGACATTTGTAAAGAGTCCTAGATTATTGATAATTACATCATTTATTGTTAGATATTGATTATTGTTATAATTGATGATTATTGTTGTTCTTATTACATGGTTATTGCTATTTTTATTTTTAGATATGGATTATTGTTATAATTGATCATTATTATTATTATTATTCTCTTTATTGTTACATTGTTATTGCTATTTTTATTATTAGATGTTGACTATATAATCATTTTTTTCAGATAATTTATTAGAACAATTCTGAGTATTAGATAATATGATTATTAGAAATCTGTCTTATGGTAGTACGACAAATGGAACTTGTGACAGATTCATGTGTGTGGCGGTGTGTATGAATCTGTCACAAAATGATCTCACGGAATGGTTTCAAAGATGCGACACAATAATGACACGTGCAACACAATTTACCCCGACATGGAAGACGTCTCATTCACCTCCACTTTCCTAACCACCAATACGGCACGATATTTTCATGGGTTTGTTGCAACAATCGGTGAAAGCGTCGCAAATAAGAATGACATGTTTGTCGCGTGGGTCAGTACTAAGAAAAATGAGGCACCGGTTTGGTGCAAGGGTTGCAACTACGTCCACACGGCCAGAAATGTGTCACCAGTGCACAATGAATCACCGTGAGTGTTATTTCTTGAATGATGACAGCTGATCTCGGTTTGTTCCCCGGAAGGAAGGAGGAGAGTTTGTGGCTAAAATGGAGATACATATTTTGAGAAATCACTCTATGGCGCCTTTCACGTGGGCGATCTCATCAGTCTGTCTGTCCGTCAGTTTTTCAAGTGGATCTTATCTGAAGCCCAATGTAACTCTATGGGCAGCCAGGTGTAAATTGCCCGTTTACATCCAATTACCCCCGACTATGTCTGGGTCCGTAAAAAGAAACCAAGTTTTGTTTTGGTGGACCTGATTGTGATGGATCGGAGACAATTGTATGTAAACGGGCATATGTCCACTTACATCCAACTCCTGATAGACCTAACATGGGTCCATACAGCTCCATAGCAGAATGGAGGAAAAAACTGAATGGGCAAAGCTGTCACAAGAGTGACGTCCATTCCATTCTGCTCCGATGAGCAGGGTATCCATGCACGGATCCCCTGCTGTTCGGAATGGACACCGCCCATGCAAAATGGTCCTCTGAGTAAGCACTTCAAAGCCTGAAACGCGTTCAAGATCTTTCCAACCATAGTACCGCGTCTTATTGGAACAAAAAAAGCTAATGGTGCCATTATCCTAAGTTTACGTGTATATACACTTCATCATAATGGCCAGGATCACCCCCACAGTGACGAGCTGGGAAAATAAAAATCTCTCTACATAAATGTTTTCAGTGTCCCTTTTCCATAGTGACAAACGTATAGTATATATAGTGTATAGCTGTATTTAGACGATAGCTGCAATGTCGCTGTTTTGCGCCCGTCACTCCTGCTTCAGTCATGAAACCCACGCGAAGCCAGTACAAGTGTTTTTATGTGTAAATGCCAACAAGCTATTCCCGTCTCAGCGTTGCTCCATTATTATTTTCTCCAGCTTTTGAAAATGTAATTAATTTTTATATGAAGTTTTTGTGGGGGAGGGGTGGTCGCAATTAGCTCTTTTTTTATGTTTGTTAGTTTTTGGGTGTTGTTTATTTCGTGACATTTCGTAGGTGTTTTATATTCTCATTATTTTAATTATTGCGTTGTTACAATTATGTCTCTGTTGATTTCTACTGCTAGGTGTTAGAATGTATAATAGAGGTGTCATTTTGTTACATAGTATCTCAACAATAGCGCTTAAAATTATAAAAGACGGGCTTCTTTTCTGTGTCTTCTAGGGGGCATAAAGTGCCCGGTGTGTAGCTTTGTGTACAGCACAAAATGGGAATTCAACAGACATCTGAAGAGCAAGCATGGACTGAAAGTGGTGGAGAATGGCAAGGAATCGGGTTGGGAGGTAAGGAAGAGGTGGAGTCAATATATGATCAAAAAAAATATATATATATTTATTATTAGTAATATTTTAATCTGGTCAACCATACACAGCAGCTATTGTGATTTGTGCTCATGCCTTCTTCTAGCACTTTGTGGTCTCCGATGATGACGTGAGTGCATTGCAGCATAGAAAACCCTTTTTGTGTCTGAGCAGTGAAGTCATTTCAGCTGATATATCTTTATTATAACATGTCTTATATAATATTGTAAGTTATTATATTATATATAATATTACTGTATTATATATTAAACCGGTTTTGGGGGGTTTTGATTCAGTATCTGATGTAATAAACCAAAACCGATCGTACCACTCCTCGGATCAGTAAGGGATTAAACCAGGTGCTCGCCGGTCACAGCATGCCCACGCTCAAAAATCAGCAGTCATTCAAATGTAGAAAAAACACTGGCCGCACACTGTATAACTGCATGCTGTCCATGCAAGCTCTGCCTACTGACACGTTTTGCCCAATCCTGGGCTTAGTTGTAGAGGTAGTCTATGACTAAGCCCAGGATTAAGTGAAACGCGACAAGGGGCGGAGCTTGGTTGGGACACATGTAGTTTCTTAAGTGCTCCAGCGTTATGCAGTGTGGCCAGTGTTTAAGTAAGTACCTGAATTTTACTTGGCTTCAGCTTCTTGCAGTCCCTATACAGCAGAGCTCAGACTAGGAGAAGCAGCACGAGAAGCCAATGCGTTATTCTCCTGGGCATATGCTATAATAAGGGACACGGTAATAGAAGAAGAGAGCAGAGTGACTGAAAGGTGAGCTGATTATTCTGCTGCTTCTCATTTCACCATCGAGTCACAGGGAGGGACAAGGCCATGGGTAGCCAAACTCTGGCCCTCCAGCTGTGGTGGAACTACAAATCCTATGAGGCATTGCAAGATTCTCACAGCCACAGATATGACTCCCGGAGAGAGATGCATCATGGGATTTGTAATTTCACCACAGCTGGAGGGCCGGAGTTTGGCTTCCCCTGGACAAGACCCTGTAAGTATAACTGAACTTCAGCAGAGGAAAAATCAGGTCCTCTGGTCTGTCAGACAGGGCTGTGTTGTGTGTGGCAGAGCTGTGCAAGTTTCAGGACTTATGGACAGAAATACACCCACATATGCATTTCATCTAGGGATGTACCGATACTGGTATCTGTGCCGATACCGAGTATTTGGGCGAGTACTCGTACTCGCCCAAATGCTCCGATACCTTTCCCGATACTAGAACTTCCAGTCAGAGGGAGATTTCCTCTGACCAGCAGTGCCGCGAGGAAAGATGGAGCCGGGAAGCTGGCTCCATGCTGTTTGGCCGTCTCGATGCTGATTATTGGCCGGGAAGCCGGCTTCCCAGCCAATCAGTGTCAAGCTGAGCAAACAAATCTGATAATATGGCGACACGACCCCCACCCTGCAGACACCTAATTGCCCTCACATAGATCCTTAGCATTCTTTAACGTACCAGTCCCTCGGCCAGATCTGCCGTTTCCTGCGTTACAGCGCTCACATGATCGGCGCTCAGCATGCTACTGCACATGCACAGGATGTCTGAATGAGAGCGCTGGGCTGTCTGCGCAGTAGCAGGCTGAGGGCCGATCACGCGGGCGCTGTACACAGGAGACGTGGGCAGATTCGGGAGAGCAGTGTCTGCCCAGCTGGCCGAGGGACTGGTACGTTAAAGAATGCTGAGGATCTATGTGAGGGGAATGAGATGCCTGCAGGGTGGGGGTCGTGTCACCATATTGTCAGATCTGTTTGGCCGGCCTCGATGCCGATTGGCTCGGAAGCCGGCTTCCCGGCCAATCAGCATCCAGCCGGCCAAAAGAATGGAGTCTGCTTCCATGGCAATCGAGAAGCTTTCCTGGCTTCCTGATTGCCCGGGAAGACGTCTCTATGCTATCGGAAGTACCGGTTTCGGTGCATCCCTAATTTCATCTGTTTTAACTGTTGTCTGGTATGTTAACTGGTATGTGCTGCAGATGCCTTCCTTGTCCTTGTCTTCACTAAGACTGCACTAACCAGCTGAAAGTTTAGAGAACAATGTGTACACTGGTCTGTATCAGTTCAGCTTGGGTGTCCCTCGTCCTGGACCAAAGAGGACTCAAACTGAGCTCCCAGTCAAAGCTATGGCACACTATCCCTTCCACCCCCCTATACCCCATTCTATCCCACAATCCAACACAGGTGCCTTTCTTGCTGGGATAATAGATTCATTCTATATTAATTAATAACGATTTAGTAATGATAAAATAAAATGTAGGCATCTTTGCGCACGTATTCTTTGTGTACTGGGGACTTGGCTCCATAATACAGATCCTACTGAAGTGGAGGTGGAGTAAATGAGCGGAGAAGTTGCTCGGAGCAGCTTAATAGAGTGGCAGAGCTGTCATAATAGATTTGATTCCGTTCCATTTTAATTTCCCGGAGTTCTTGCGTTTTGTTTTAGAACAGGCCCGGCCCGGCCAGGCAGCCAGGGGCCCCTATTGTGATGTGAAGAGAGCTTCAGGTTCTGGCACTGCAACTGGGCGCTGTAGGGCTCGTGATGAATGTGCAGCCTGTCAGGGTGTTGTCAGATAAGCCGCAGATCTGTGCTACTAAGCAGCATCTGTTCACAGTGATTAATGTGCAGACAATGCATGGAGTAAATGGCGCATCAACAGTACTTTGTGTCTAATGGTTAATGCATTGCCTTTCCTCCACAATCAGGTGTAGATGTCACTGTACTTATTGGCAGCGAACCAGCAGCATCCTTGTGTCAGAGACCTGTTAGCGAGGGCGGATGCTTAAAAGCTGAACTGCAAGCAAACAGCTAAATTCACAGATCAAATACATAAATAGGAGCAGTTACTTGCCAAAAGATTTGTATTTCTGTCCATCCAGTGCTGAAACTCACAGAGCTCTGTCACACAGCAAAGCCCTGTGTAGCCAGGCAGGAGATCTGACTTGTCAGCAGTTAGGTTACACTTCCCGGTCTTGTCCCTCCCCAACCTTTGACTTGGCAGTGAATGAGTGAGCAGTAGACTGATGAGCTCACCTCTCTGTCACTCTGTTCCCCCTTTACAGCATGAATTTAGACAGCACACAAACTGGCTCCTCGTGCTGCTTCTTCCTTTGACTGTCCAGCCCTGCTGTACAGGGACTGCGAGAGGCTGATACCAGGTCACATTCTGGTACTTACACTGCTGGTATAAAAAAAAAGAAAAATAGCATATGTGATTCCTTACCTACTTTTTTCCTGTTTATATTGATGTAGAACCTATCAGTACTTTCTGAAAGCAACTGCTCACTGGGTGGGTCATGTGATAATTTTTTTTACATCTAGATACTGTATTACAGGGGTGATCAACCTTTGGTTCTCCAACTGGGAGAAATTACAAACCCCATTTAGCATTGTAAGACTCAGGCAAGACTTTGAGAAGCAAATGCATGATGGTTTTTGTAGTTTCACCAAAGCTGGAGGGTTGAAGTTTGGCTACCCCTGTTGTAGCGGATGCTAAAAGCAATCAAAGGTGCCACATCCCCAAATCTTAGACCAATGTTTCTCAATCTTTTTTTCAAGTATGCAAATACTTGAAGTGCCTTCTAAAATGTGAATGTAAAATAACGACATGTGGCCCCATGCAAAAGCACAAACAATGGGGTCTTCCCTTCACACCATAATGCCATCCCCCTTCCCACATCAAAATCCCACCTTCAAATCAGAAGCTCCCTGCTCTCACATTAGAAGAGTGCTGTGTTTTAATCAGTACAGTGTTTTCAATTTAAAAGGACCATAGGCAGCTCCTTCATTGCTAGGATGCAAGTGGCTCCTTTCTGCCTAGTACCCTTCGTTGCTGGGATGCAGGTGGGTCCTTTCTGCCTATTACCCTTCGTTACTAGGATGCACGTGGGTCCTTTCTGCCTTGTGCCCTTCGTTGCTACGATGCAGGTGGCTCCTTTCTGCCTAGTACCCTTCGTTGCTGGGATGCAGGTGGGTCCTTTCTGCCTATTACCCTTCGTTGCTCGGATGCAGGTGGGTCCTTTCTGCCTTGTGCTCTTCGTTGCTGGGATGCAGGTGGCTCCTTTCTGCCTAGTACCCTTCGTTGCTAGGATGCAGGTGGCTCCTTTCTGCCTAGTACCCTTCGTTGCTAGGATGCAGGTGGCTCCTTTCTGCCTAGTACCCTTCGTTGCTAGGATGCAGGTGGCTCCTTTCTGCCTAGTACCCTTCGTTGCTAGGATGCAGGTGGCTCCTTTCTGCCTAGTACCCTTCGTTGCTAGGATGCAGGTGGCTCCTTTCTGCCTAGTACCCTTCGTTGCTAGGATGCAGGTGGCTCCTTTCTGCCTAGTACCCTTCGTTGCTAGGATGCAGGTGGCTCCTTTCTGCCTAGTACCCTTCGTTGCTAGGATGCAGGTGGCTCCTTTCTGCCTAGTACCCTTCGTTGCTAGGATGCAGGTGGCTCCTTTCTGCCTAGTACCCTTCGTTGCTAGGATGCAGGTGGCTCCTTTCTGCCTAGTACCCTTCGTTGCTAGGATGCAGGTGGCTCCTTTCTGCCTAGTACCCTTCGTTGCTAGGATGCAGGTGGCTCCTTTCTGCCTAGTACCCTTCGTTGCTAGGATGCAGGTGGCTCCTTTCTGCCTAGTACCCTTCGTTGCTAGGATGCAGGTGGCTCCTTTCTGCCTAGTACCCTTCGTTGCTAGGATGCAGGTGGCTCCTTTCTGCCTAGTACCCTTCGTTGCTAGGATGCAGGTGGCTCCTTTCTGCCTAGTACCCTTCGTTGCTAGGATGCAGGTGGCTCCTTTCTGCCTAGTACCCTTCGTTGCTAGGATGCAGGTGGCTCCTTTCTGCCTAGTACCCTTCGTTGCTAGGATGCAGGTGGCTCCTTTCTGCCTAGTACCCTTCGTTGCTAGGATGCAGGTGGCTCCTTTCTGCCTAGTGCCCTTCGTTGCTGGGATGCAGGTGGGTCCTTTCTGCCTTGTACCCTTCGTTGCTGGGATGCAGGTGGCTCCTTTCTGCCTAGTGTCCTTTGTTGCTATGATGCAAGTGGCTCCTTTCTGCCTAGTGCCCTTCTTTGCTAGGATGCAGGTGGCTTCTTTCTGCCTAGTGCCCTTCTTTGCTAGGATGCAGGTCGCTCCTTTCTGCCTTGTGCCCTTCTTTGCTAGGATGCAGGTGGCTTCTTTCTGCCTAGTGCCCTTCTTTGCTAGGATGCAGGTGGCTCCTTTCTGCCTAGTGCCCTTCTTTGCTAGAATGCAGGTGGCTCCTATTTGCCTAGTGCCCTTCGTTGCTAGGATGCAGGTGGCTCCTATTTGCCTAGTGCCCTTCATTGCTAGGATGCAGGTGGCTCCTTTCTGCCTAGTGCCCTTCGTTGCTAGGATGCAGGTGGCTCCTTTCTGCCTAGTACCCTTCATTGGTAAGATGCAGGCAGCTCCTTTCTGCCTAGTGCTCTTTATTGCTAGGATGCAGGTGGCTCCTTTCTGCCTAGTGCCCTTCGTTGCTAGGATGCAGGTGGCTCCTTTCTGCTTAGTGTCCTTCGTTGATAGGATGCAGGCGGCTCCTTTCTGCCTAGTTCCCTTCGTTGCTACGATGCAGGTGGCTCCTCTCTGCCTAGTGCTCTTGGCTTCGTTGCTAGGATGTAAGTGGCTCCTTTTTGCCTGGTGTCCTTTGTTGCTAGGATGCAGGCGGCTCCTCTCTGCCTAGTGTCCTTTTTCTTTGCTAGGATGCAGCCGGCACGAACCCCACCTAGAGTCCTTTGTTGCTAGAATGTGAGTGGCTCAAGCCGACTACTGTCCTAGCAACCAGTAGGTGGCCTTAGCACTGTACCCATGTAAACGTTGAACAGATGTTGCTTGCGTGCAGAGGGCATACACTGCAAGATGCTGCATACTAGGTGCTGTATTTTCATTACTGCAGTTGGATGCTCCGGTGGAGAGATTCCTTCACTTGCTGTCCAGTTGAAAGGTCCCCATTACAGGAAATGAAGAGAAACCTTTCTATCAAGCATCACATGCAGAAGTAATATGTTTTGGGATTGGATACACTTTACAGTAACCATCAACTTTGGGCTAGTGTCCACGTTTCTTCAAAAGTTCTCAGTCTAAGTGAGTTCCAGTCTCACAATCTCACTCTTGAAGTTGTATTATACTTGCCATGATCCAGTTCTAACAGAGATGTCACTCTTTGGCCACAAAGCAGATAAGTCATAAAACTATTGGGTAACTAGATCTAGTGAACTTACAGGTGGTCACCACAAGCCAAGTCGCTGTTCAAGTTTGACCTGCGAGTCACATTCTCTGCAAAAATATAACCTACTGACCTTGTAACTGAAATGCCAAGAGTGTTAATTGTCCATTAGCAACCAGCTGGTGTCTAAAATTACTGAGCTGAGAACACATGCTGTGCTCATCTCCACTATGTGACCACAGTACGTAATGAGGATGCAGGTTACATTAAACATGTGCAGACATGCCACATTCCACAAAGTAGCATTAAGCCACTTACCTTGATGACAATTCTAAAACTCCATTGGTTGCTTAAATGATCATCCCCCCTCTGGTCTTCATACAAGCATTATTAATGCACATCCGTAAAGTGGAACAATGAGTAACTTCACAAATCTACATAAATTAATTCCTGCCATGTCACAATATACAGCGATAGACGTGTTAGTGGGGCGCTGGACCCAAAACAGGAGGGATTAGATTTTAAATCCAGATTTTATTGGGAACTCCACTAGGGAAGTCAGAAATGGATAAAGATTTGGGGGTCATAGTAGACCACGGATTGAACAATAGCTTGCAATGCCAGGCTGCGGCAAACAAAGCGAGCAGAGTCCTGTCTTGTATTACAAAGGGAATGTACTGTAGAGACAAATCTATAATGTTGCCACTTTATAGATTACTGGTTCGGCCTCATCTGGAGTATTCGGTCCAGTTTTGGTCACCAATCCATAGAAAGGATGTCCTGGAGCTGGAGAGAGTCCAGAGAAGGGCAAAGAAACTAAGTAAGGGGCTGGAGGATCAAAGCTATGACACGAGGTTACTAAACTTAAACTTGTTCACGCTGGAAGTGAAGCGATTAAGAGGGGACATGATTTTGATGTACAAAATGTCTAGTGGTGATGGCAACATCAGCACCAAACCTTTTACAGTAAACTCCGTAACAAGGACCAGAGGCCACCACCTAAAACTGGTGGAGAAAAGATTTAACCACAAAGGGCGTAGGGGCTTTTTTCCAGTTAGAGCGGGTAAAGTCTGGAACTCGCTGCCACAAGAATTGGCATCAGCTGAGAGTGTGGAATCATTCAAAAAGCATTTAGATACCTTCCTCAGAGACCGCAACATACAGGGGTACAGGTACTCTTAAAAACAAGGGCACACAGGGACTCGTGTACCCACATACAAATGCACAATCACATACAGACACACAAAGGTTGGACTTGACGGACCTGTGTCTTTATTCAACCTCAAATACTATGTAACTATGTAGTTCTCTGTCAGCCAGGGTATGCTCAGTGGTCCCCAGAGTAATCTGAAGAATGTGGGAAGGAGAAGAGCACCATTTGACTGCACCGACAGAAGGTCGCAAAAACAAGCTAACACACTACAGGGGCTTACTGGCCCTCCTTCATCAGGGCTTATGTGCTAAGCAGTAATAATTACATGATATCTGGAATAGTGTATTAATGGATCTGCTCAGCGTGCCAGTCAGCCACAATAAAGCAAAACAAACGACAAACGCACTCAACAATTTGTTACCAGTTATACAGTAAGGTGCACACGAAATGGGCTTTGAACAGTATTACAGTAGAAATGCATCATGGCACACTCACAAACTAGCATGTAAAACAACTTGTCTCACCACTAAGGACAATGACAGAGGTTTGGATACACGTCTTCTGCAAAGGATGTGTAAGCCGCACTGCGGCGCCAAGGCACCTCTTATAGTGCACCTCTTCTGCCCCATGTGCTCCAAGATGGAGACTCTCATAGTTTAGAGTTAGGACCGCACTATAAGAGGTGCCTTGGCGCGGCAGTGCGGCTTACACATCCTTTGCAGAAGACGTGTATCCAAACCTCTGTCATTGTCCTTAGTGGTGAGACAAGTTGTTTTACATGCTAGTTTGTGAGTGTGCCATGATGCCTTTCTACTAGTCAGCCACAATATACACCAAAGGCAATTTTTTTTGAATGCCGTCCTTTGCCTGTTTTTGTAACTTTGTCCTCACTGACACAATGCCATTAGTCTGCTGCATGCAGGAGGAAGCATTTCCCCAGTCTCCTCTTCACCAGCGATCAGACTGCAATATTGTAACTGTGTACCAGGTTGCAAGGTGAGAGGCTGCGGCAGATGGTGACCTTGGATGATGCGTAAAGATAGCTCAGTCCTTCTGGAGAGAATATCAGACATTGTCAGTGGGAGTACTGTGATCTCTGTGAGTGGTAATAAATACCTGGAAGCATTATGTATACACATCGCTTGGCATGCATGGAATTAACATGAAAAATATATATCTGATGCTAGGTCCAGTTTAAAAGGCAGCTTGGGAAAATCTAGGCATAGTTTTACCTGCAAATAGATTGGGCAGTAATGTACAAATATTGGTTATTATGGCATCATGGAAGAGACACAACCTACTTCTGGGAATTTTTGCCACTGGGACCTAGTGGGTGACACAGCACGCCAGTGACCCACGCAAATACGAAGGTATCTCTTTGTTCTGAAGTTAGCTTTTAAGTGAGCTAACAATTCTCTAGCTGTGTGCTCTTTAACCAGTTGCCGTCCGCCCGTAGTAGAAAAACGGACGGACGGCACTGTCGCATTCGCGGGTTGCCGTCGCATTTCTTGCCTGCTTAATGTTTATGAAGCTCTTCTTTGTGTTTATAATGTGCGACATTCAGCAGCTGGTGGATGTGACCGAGGAGATCTCAACGCAGTTCCTTCATATCGCTGAAGCCGAAGCAGATGCTCAGGGAACGCAGACAGCTGTTGCCGCTCTCCAGGATTTGAGATACACCTCGGAAACCAGTAAGTGGAGCATGAAGTTCAGCCTTCCTGGGCCCTCCCATGAATAATTAAGAGTGAGAAAGTAAATATCGGCACTTGTGTATTAGAACTGCAGACTGTTTGTTGTTTCACCAGCACTTAGTGTGTGTTGAAGGCACGTGCTTGTTTAAAGTTGACACTTTTTGTTGACCTATAAAATGTTTGCTCTGTCCATCTTGTCACTTGGTCATGTCTTCCTGGCCCTGACCACTTCTACTGGGTGCCATGTGTAATCTCTACCCAGAGGAATAACATCCCGTGGTGGTAGGGATGCTGAAGTTCACAAAATAATTGGGATTATCCCAATTTGGCTGCAAAAGTGGAAATATGCTTAGTGCAATTGCCATGTTTGGCCATTGTTGTCTAAGGCTGAACCTGTGTCATGCTCTAGCTGGAAGATGGACTGCAGAAGAACAGGACCCATGAAGTGCAAAGCAACAGGTTCACTTTTTTAACAAAACATTAGAGATGTCCGGATACTGATACTAGTATCGCTATCGGGACCGATACTGTGCAAATTCAGGAGTACTTGTACTCCTGAGAATACCCCGATACTAATGTCCGATACTGGCTCTTGACATTTTTTAAACAAATTGGCTGCCGAGGTCCTGCGCTTTTGTAGACCTCGGCAGCCTGCTGGGAACCTGTCGGTAGCTGTCCTTGGCAGTGCCTGTCCGGCTCCATATCTCCTTCCCGGCACAGGGACAGCCACGCACGGAACAAACAGTCCCAGAGCCGGCAGAAGACCGGTCGCCCGATCGTTCAGCCCGGCGTCCAACCGCAGCGCCTCACAAGCAGCCTGGTGACATCTGTACACTCCCCTGGTGCGATGCAAACGCAGCCTGGTGACACCTGTTCACTCCCCTGCTGACATTGAAGCGCAGCCTTGTGACATCTGTTCACTCCCCTGGTGAGATGCAAACGGAGCCTGGTGACATCCGTGCACTCCCCTGGTGAGATGCAAATGCTGCCCTGGTGAGACCCAAAAGCAGCTAGGTGAGAAACTGCCTTAAAATCACTGGCCTGTATTGTTTTATAAAAAATTTCACATGTCCCTTTAAGTAAAAGCATTGGTAATTGGTATCAGAGTCTACCTGAGGGAAAGTACTTGTACTTGGTCTTTAAAAAATGCTATCGGGACATCCCTACAAAACATAAAGAAAAAAACTGTCAGCTCAACTTTCTTACCATACCTTCATTCTCTCACTGCTTTATTTGGCCACCAGGAGTGAGGAATAGTTAGCCCTGTGTAAGCTCCAAATTTGAGAGCTTACACAGGAGTAAGGACGTTCCCCTTTGACATGTGTCAATCTGGTTTTCTGAGCTACCAGTCATCAAGCACCAGCGTTGCCACATGGGCAGTAGGAGAGCGAGTCAAATGCTCTCCACACTCAGAAATTCAAGGTATTTCTCTTTTGTCCGTTGAGGGACACAGCTCTGAAGAATTCTGAGGCATAGGGTTATTCTGCTGCCTCCAGGAGAAATGGACACTAGGCAAAAATATGAAAAGCTTTAAGGACATAACCCCTCCCACCTCACAGCTGACAGTTTTGCTTATTGTCCTCAGGAGAACAGATGCCTCCTTCTCTTCTGGTTTATTATTTTGTTTCATTAAAGATTCTACTACTAAGAGCTGCTACTTATTCATACCGTATATTAACCCCTTCATGACTGAGGCCTTTTTTTCATTTTTTGTACCCATGTTATATTCCACATTTTTAGGCCGGAAAATTACTTAAAACCCCCCAACATTATATATTTTCTGAATGCCAAGATCCTATAGAATAAAATAATCAGTCACAAAGGGGTTAAATCCTGGAAGTCTCTCTAGTTGTTATGAATCGGGTAGTTTCTGGTCTCAGTAATTATGCTTTGCCCTGCGGTCCTGTTTTCATCATTTAATAGTCAGGACAATATTACCTGGTGATTCCTGTTATGTCGGGAACAGGGGCATGGGGGGGTTAGCAAAATAAAAAGTTTTTACCTCTTGTTTATAAGGTTGGGTGTTTTCCTTCCTCTTTATTTTAATTGGCCTGTCTGCTTTTAGACCCCCATTTGGCTAAATGCCTTTTTATGTGAATTTTGTCTCCATTTTATTTAGATTTCCCGCTGTATCGTAAAGGCGGGGACTTCAATTTGATGACGCACTTTTTTTTTTTAATCTACTGCACATGTGCAGCCCATTTTCCTTGTGTCCTCATAGCAGTGTATTGCGTTTCTATCAGCAGTGAAAGGAGCGGTTTTTAGTGTGCTTCTTTTCTTCATGTCGCTTATTGGGGAGAACAGAGATCTCCTGTTTACTTTAACTATTCCACAGCCATTCTTCGATTATTCTGCTGTCTGCAGCAGGTAGTTGCGGTAGCAGGGCACTGTGTGAAAGTGAGTATTTTCCTTTCCTATTTTGTGTCTTACTGCTGGTTTTATTTAGAAGCTTGTGACATTTGTGCTTTACATCGGTGTCACTAATGTTTCTGTTTCTTCCAGATAAGTGGTCTGTACCTTACAAGACCTCTGAGGTGTTGCTGTGGTGACCTGTGATTGTTATACTTTATGTACTTGACAAGTTGGCCACATTGGGGAGCACTCTTCTTTATTTCTGCTCAGGCTTACTGGGAAAACATGTTACTGTTTATTTCCCTCCTCCTGCCTGACTACTGATGATGTAGTTTTCACTCAGTAAGGAGCGGCAGCGCTCATGAAAGTTATACAACGGTCAGACATTGGTGACACTTTTCTAGGTGTCTGGGGCGTGCACTCTTTCCTTCCTTGATTAAGGAACATAGCACATAGGAATCATCTCATGTATACAAGAATACAATACACCTAATGTATGCTTGTCATATCCACCATGCCATTTAATTGATGCAGTACCTGGGCTGTGTCAGATTCATTCAGCATTAGATAGACTTGGTTGCCTTCTTAATTGAGGCTGTGCGTTCCTCTTTAAATTTAGAGGATTTTGCTGTTTTTTCTACTTCTGCAATTTCTAGTCTTGGTGCACATAAACCTGAGCTTGTCTGCAATTTTTGATAGGGTTTTATATAAGGATTGGGAAATTGTGGATAAGCAGCTTCTGGTTCCTAGACACTTTAAATCTCTCTATTCTTTTCTGGAAGATTTTGTTAAAAAAAACATTTATCCGTTAACTGGTTCAGCTCTTCAACTATTATTGGCTACGGTCCTTATTTCCCAGACTTTTCCTTGTGTTTCTAGCTTAAGTGTTGGTCAGCGGAACCCCAGTGCTAAAAGGGACTTCTGCTTTTACCGTACATGAGTGGTCATCTTTTTGAAGTTATCATGGATTAGATATTAAAAAGCTGCGGGAGGTAAAAGTGAACGCTTACCTCAGATGTGGAAAAATAGGGATCGGCATTGTAAGCCTGCTCCTTCCTTTTACGTCTTTTATACGTTCCTTTAGTTTCCAGTTTCAAAAGACGTCTTACACTTCCACATCTTTGGACCCTCTAGACATCCTTGGTCATTTTAAAAAGTCTGCGTTAACACGAAGGTCTGCTCCCACCTTTTCTTTATCTTGTGTGGGGGGGCGCCTAATTGAATTTGCAGAGACGTGTGAAACTCAAATTTCAAAATATATTTTCATCTTCCTCCACCTCCTCCTCCTCGGTTCTCTGTGTTCTGGCTTCCCATGTCTCAGGAGCATTAGACGAAACTTTTTTGCACACTTCAAGGTCTAATGGAACAGTGTGTTTACAGCTCTTTTCCTTTGGCAGAGGGTTAGTATTCCCGTTCCTGTGGCAGAAGATTTTTACTCAAATCTGTTTAAAGTTTAAGGTTCAGGATAGAAAGCACTCAATGCGTTTGTATATATTCACAAATTCCGGATGGTATCCATTTGGCCGGTTGTCACCTTTCATAGACGAGGAGAATTTTGGGTTTCCATAGACATAAAGGACGTGTATCTACACATTCCGGTATTTCCAGCTCATCAGCGTTTTCTTAATTTTGCCATAAGTGACCTTCATTATCAATTTGTGACGCTTCCCTTAGGGTTGGCTTTGAATCTAAGGATTTTTACGAAAGTTACATGGAACATTCCCGTCGCAAGGGTATTGCGTTTATTGGATACTTAGATGGCCTTTTACTTTGTGAACAGTCTCTTCTGTCTCTGCAGTTCAATGTTTTAATGGTTCCGCAGACATTAGAGGACTTTGAGTGCATTCTGAACATTGAGAAGTCATCCCTAGTTCTGTCACATGGCTTGGAGTATTTGGGTCTTCTGTTGGATACCCTTCAAGCAAAGGTGTTCCTTCCTCAGAACAAAATGTTGAAGTTGCGGGATGAAGCTCATGTTCAGGTTCTAGATCCGCTATTTATAAACGGATTTCTCAGGTTGTCATTCAAGCTTATGAGTTGCTGGATAAGGTTCCTCCTTTCCTGTTGCATTTTAGAATCAAGCTTGTTACTCCACAACTTGGTCCTCTGTTCACATTTTTGCTAAGTTTTACAAAGTTAAAATTTCTGCCTCTTCTGATGCTAGTTTTGGCAAAAAGGTTCTTCAAGTGGCTGAGTATTTGAGCTGGTTCTCCTAGGTTTTATGGGGCTCGGCCCATCTTTTTGGACTGCTTTTGAACATCCCTGCATCTTAGAATTTTTGTCCCTCCATGGACGATAGAGAAAATAGGATTTTGTTCCGTCTATTGATGGATACAGCTCCCTCCTCTCATTCCCTTTCATACTGCCTGCAGGAGACATCCAATTCTCCTGAGGACACTAAGCAAAAGTGGCAGGTGTGAGGTGGGAGGGGTTATGTCCTTAAAGTGGCAGGCTTTTTTTTTTGCCATTTCTCCTGGAGGCAGCAGCATGACTCTACGTTTCAAAATTCTTCAGAGCTGTTTCCCTCAATGAACTCTGAGAAAAGAATTTTAAGGTAAGCACAAAATCCTATTTTTCCTTTGCTGCCGGAGTGGGTGGGGTTGCTAAAGGGAGACAATTATATACTGCTTGTGGAGCAAACGTGGGCAAAGAATAGGTTCAATTTAAGATTGGACCTCCGCAAGAGCTATGCAGGCTGGGCAGCTAAAAGGTCCTTTAGTCTAGTGAAGGAGTGTAAGAGAGTTCAACTATATTTCAGCCAGCCTTAAATAAAAAGATTTCACTTGATTATGTATAGGGATGCACAGATACTTTTGAGTACCAGTACAGATACTTGGCATTTTCATGAGAACTATCAGGGTTGCAGCTGGGACTTGGCTCTGAAGCTCCACCACTGTCCTGAAATCATTAGTCTGTATTGTTTTAGAAAAACTGTCACACTGTCGTACTTGTAAGTACTCGGCAAGTACCAGTACTCGTACTCGCAAAACTGGTATCGGTGCATCCCTTTATTTATAGTTATAAAAACAAAATCGTACATTACAACAGAGATGTAGAACTCCCAGGAGCGCCGTGTGTTCCTTACAAATGACAGCGGCCTCCTAACTTCTGAATTTTTCTCTAGTCTAGTCTTGGAGCTCAAAAGTACCGAGTACTGTACTTGGTATCTGTGCAACCCTAATTATGTACATTATGAGGCTGGGCAGCTAAAGGATCATTTACTCTACTTAAGGGTAGGGGATTTCAACTATAATTTCAGCTAGTTTTTCATATAATGATCTATTTCAGTTGATTGCATACATTCTGGCTTTTGATGGGTTTTTTTGCGTCTGAATACTTGTTTGTTATACAATCATGTTGTTCTACCTGGAAAGGTTGATTCTTTGCTTGGAGGTAGCCAATGCTAGTGGCCACAAAAGAAAGACCCAAGACTGGCCAGTATTAAGCAGCTAAAAGTGGGGGGCTAGAGATTTTGCTAGTGCTTTGCACTACATGGGCAGCAATCACGCCAAATGGAATAACAATGTAATTTTATATCCATCAGAGCCTTTTCCCTTCACTCCCCGTGTTAGTCATTAGTCATCAGAGTCATCCAGTCACTGACTATTACAGTCTAGTGCAGGAAAGTGAGCAACAGAGACTAGCCAACAGTGTGTGAGTGCAGGACAGCTCTCTCGTCCTAAAGAGACCCGGTCTCCAGACCATTCATTCAAAATCTTCTCATAAGAATATGTCCATAAACTTTAATTTCTGCTTATTTGTCTCCCTTGTATCCAAAAGTCCTGAGACTGGTACTGGGTGCCATATGATGTCAGCAGCCCAGCGGACTCGGAGCTGTCAATCAATGATACTCTATAGCAGGGCTCAAAATTTCAAGTCCTAAGCTACTAGCCAGACCTTAAAATTTACTCGCCACCAGTTGCCCCACCTAAACCCTACCCTGCCCTGGCCTTATCTCCGCCAGGTCAGCGGTGTGACGCAGAGTACAAAGATCAGTAACAACGCACATTACAGAATTCAGTGGTGCAATGCAGAATACAGAGGCCAGCTGTGTGACGCACAGTGCACCGGATCTATAGTATTCCCTTTTACCAGCCAGCAGTGAGAGTACTTAGACATTCCCAGAAGAGGAGGGGGGCTATTACGTAAAAGGAGGGAAGGGGCTGTGTTTGGGAATTGACTCTTGCTGGAGTAGTCACATTTTCTAGCAAGTTCAATGGCACATGGAAATGTAATTTTTTTTAAAATTACGGAAATGAAAAACACTTCAATTTTGCCTTAAAAATACTAGATGACAGGGTCTCTTTAAGTTTAAAACTTCCCTGTATCCAGATTTGTCCACTGACCGACAACTGAAGCCTATTGCAGGAGAAGTGGGCAACAGAGACGCTAGCCAATAGTGTTAAGGGACGGTTAGCTCCCCCTTCATAAGTTTAACGCTTACTTGTGTCCTGAGTTATCCGGACACTGACAACTGAGGTCAAATGCAGGAAAGTGGGCAACATAAAGACTAGCCAACTGTTCTAGGGGCTTGGAACACTTCTCACTTCTTAAGTTTAAAGCTAAATTCCATTCATTTACTTATATTCCTCAATCACCACAAAAGAATATAAATCCACTTTGCGAGCACTTAATGCCTTTGGAAACCCTATTATTACTTTGTAAAAGTAGCAGTGACATCATTACATAGCCTGTGCAGAGTTGTGGGAGAGACCCAGCAGGCCCCACCCACTACAGGCTAACTATAGAAGGGGCAGAGACCAGACCAGTCACCCTGCACGAGGAGAGAGAGCAGCAGTGGCCGGTCTTTATTACAGTAGGGGGCGGAGACAAGAGCAGTCACCTTGCACAAGGAGAGAGAGAGAGCAGCAGTGAGCGGTCTTTATTACAGTAGGGGGCGGAGACCAGACCAGTCACCCTGCACAAGGAGAGAGCAGCAGCAGTGAACCAGTCTTTATTACAGGAGGGGGCGGAGACCAGACCAGTCACCCTGTAAAGGAGAGAGCAGCAGCAGTGAGAGGTCTTTATTACAGGAGGGGGTGGACACAAGACCAGTCACCATGCACATGGAGAGAGAGCTGCAGTAACTGGTCTTTATTACAGGAGGGGGCAGAGACAAGATCAGTCTCTATGCACAACCAAAGAGAGCAGCAGTGAATGGTCCTTATTACAGGAGGGGGGCGGAAACTAGACCAGTTACCCTGCACAAATAGAGAGATTTGCAGTGAGCGTTCTTTATTACAGGAAGCTCCAAGTCGCACACTGGATTACTGCACAGATCTGGAAGAAATTCACAAAGCTTACAAAGATTTAAGGAAGAAAACACATGACTCTTGGATTTAGACAATATTTGCGTATCCCGGGGTTCAGCTTTAAAGCTCTCCTGTGGAGTGAATTAGTCATTGCTGTATTGCTGTAGATTGCAGGGAAACTCTAGTAAAAATTTTATATTTAGAATACACTAGCTATACCTATTATATTAACCATTAGCATTCCACCCTCCATCTTTTCATGTTTACTACCCTATTGAGTGGTGCACAAGGAAGGAGATTTGCATGACATTATTGTGTCTGTATAGCATAAGGTGATCCTAAACCTAATTTCTGAACATTATTTGTTTTCATATCTGAAAATTGCTATGCAGAAGACTTGCTTTGTTTTTCCGGAATACTGCAGATGGTCTCACAGATGGCAGCTTTAGAGGAAGCATACACAACGCAAAGAGAGAGAGAGAAAGACATTTATGAAGCCACTTGGTACCCAGTCCTTTCACATAATGAGAAAAGTTGTGTTAATTTCCTGTTCATTAATTATGCATTTTAATACACCCGGAAGAATCACACGTATTCCAAACTCTGCACTCTTTGACTGCCGTTTGTTTTTCAAAGAGGCCGCAGAGGGCAAAGAGCGCGTCGGCGGACTTTATCACTGGGGCTGCCGTTAACTTGTACCTATTGATTTTTTTTGTTTTTCTTAAGGTGAGAAGCTCGACCCCACAGCTATGAACATACTCCAACAAATCATCGAGTTGGGCACAGAGTCCCATGACGCTGTTGCCTCTGTAGTTGCCATGGCACCGGGAACCGTGACAGTTGTTGAGCAGGTAATTCCCTTATTTTCACTTTAATAGGATTGTAGCAGACATTGCAGCATCGATGTATTAAGGGAAGCGACAATGTTTTTTTTTCCACGGGTAGACCTTTTGAATCTTCTTTGTAAAGTCTAAATAAAAGTAGCTGTTGATATGACTTTCACTTTGTCGCTCGCTTGTTGTTCCATATTGTCCTGCTTGTATGTAATAATAAACACTATATGGTTATATGTTTGTGGACACTTGACCAATACACCTATTATTCAACCATTGAGTAAAAAAGTTTTGACCTGTATCTGGATATTTAGGTGCCACACCCCTGGTAAGTAGTATGCAAAAAAATTATTTTAAAGAAAGAAAAAGTGGGGTTTTGAAAGCACCAGAAAATGACAACTCCAACCACAATATGTAAAAATATATTTATTTATTTCATATAAATCTTAAAAAAGGAAACAAAGAGGGCTTAAAGCCAATGATAACATTGAGTAGATAGTCCCTAACACAGCTCTTTCCACATGCACAATACCTCACCATTAACAGAAACATACATGATTCATCCTATGTTCTTGTAGACATACATGATTGGGGTTCAAATGCCAAATGACCAGATAACATATAAAGAGGTCCTTATACAATTGTTCGTAGGGCTGTGGAATGAAATAATTGCTCACTACTAACACTGCCCTAGGAACAGAGTGTGACCCTCGGCACACAACATGATTCAATTTGTAACAACTTGATGAGCATGATTAAATACAGAAAACAATGTTAATTAAAAATCCACATAATTCCCCATCCAAAATAGTGGGTAGATGTATTTATCCCCAGTATTACTTCATCTGATATCCACAATATATCAACATGACCTATATAGATAATGCTCGAAGGGTTAGAGGGTGGAGCAGATCAATTCTCCACTAACACCAACCTGCAAGCAAGGTATGGCTACCTTGAGAGTTTATACAGACTGGTATTTTTCAGTCATAGAGATGTAATCTGTCCAGAATACATTAATTATATATCACATGAGTCGTATGTTTTTATCACTGTGATTGCATTTAAGATGTATTTGCAGATGAATCTATCATTTTAATGGGCCTGGGGAAGCATTTCCCACACTTCTATTTTTGTGTATTTGGTTGGTGGTATTTCCCAGTAAGCGTCCTGGATGGTATAGAATCGCTCTTGGGGTGGTCATAGGGGATATAGACTGTTATTAGTTCCTTTGGGGAGTATTTTTAAAGTAAGAATTTAAAGCTAAGGGTTTCATTCAGCCCAGGTGGCTGTATGGCCCGTAGCCTATAGATCCACCCTGTATCTTTTTATCCCAGTCTCCTCCACGTTTGTCTTCCCTTATACATTCCAAATATATTTTTACATATTGTGGTTGGAGTTGTCATTTTCTGGTGCTTTCAAAACCCCACTTTTTCTTTCTTTAAAATAATTTTTTTGCATACTATTATTCAACCAAATGTATGTGGACGCCCCCTCCAAATGTTCAGCTGATTCCAGTGAAGGGTACGGTTGAGGCTACAATATACAAAGCCATTTTGGACAATTGTGTGCAGCACTTTAGGGAAGAACATTTCCTGTTCCAGCATGACAGTGCGTAACAATTTAGGGAAGACCATTTCCTGTTTCAGCATGACCCTTGTGCACAAAGTCAGCTCCATAAAGGCATAGTTTGGCCAGTTTGCGCTGTGGGGGCCATTCCTCCACACCAATGACCTCAACCCCAGAGGCGCCCCAAGGTGTGGTGGCACCCGGTGCGGGTACCAGGTGACACCGTGCAGTGACGCCATCACGCGCTGTACCGCTGTTACCTGCCGGCGGCCATCTTGGTGATGGACGCCGGCAGAGAGAGGAGGGGACGTTCACCCTGCGGGATAAGGTATGCCGCTGTGTCCCCTCCTCTCTAGAGCAAAAGTCGGGCTCTTTGTCCATGACAGAGTGCCTGACTTTTCAGAGGGGTTGACACCAAAATGACTGTCAGTCATTTTGGTGTCACCCAGGTGCGGGCAGCACCTCCCTTGTGACACCACTGCTCAACCCCACTGAACACCTTTGGGAAGCCAACTTTGAACCAAGTCTTCGCACCCAACATAAGTACCTGACCTTACAAATGTGTCTTTGTCTGGATAGACGCAAATTCTCACAGGCACTCTCCAAAACCTTCTCAGAAGACTGGAGCTACACAAATAGGGACAACTCCTTCTTAATGTCCATGTCCAACATCTCCATAGAATGTAGTTTTGAAACCATGTCTTTATAAGGTTGGATTTGTACACAAGGGACACAGTCATGCTGGAACAGAAAAGGGCCTACAGTGAACTGTTACCACAAGGTGCTGGAGACTAAAGACATGCTGCAGAAGACTGTTGGGGTCGAGGATCTGTTACACGTGACTGCTAAACATCACTCTCCTTACAAAATTAAAACCCCCACCGCTGACTCCTGATATCCAGGGGGTGTATGACGAGTACCAAATGGCAGCAGGTGGCCCTTGGTATACAAGTTGGGCTACCAGGCAAGTATTGAAAGGATGAGTATGATAACCATGAATCCTGCACATCTGAAAACAAGTCAGTAATGGCGGCCTTAATATTTCTATCCAGACTCTTAATTTATTTGCTAAGAGGTGGAAGCTAAGTAGGCATTTTACATTATCCCATTTTATAGATGCGTGATAATAAAACAGTGACAGATTGCTATTGCAACGTAAGTAAACATATGGTGAATTAACTTTGTGCTGTGTGAAGTTACATTTCTCTACACTGTCTGTATTTGGATGGCAGTGAATCTTAATTTTTTTTATTTGTACTTGATATAGGGGTTGTAGCATTCCTGTGCCTTTTTGTCTTGGTATTACACATTCTGTTTCTCCGGGATCCAGCGGGTAATCTGTAAGGCTTTCTGACACTGTTCTATCCATGTTTAATAAAGGCTAAATCCACATCTCCTTGGAGTCTCCTCCGGGCTGTCTCCTTCCTCGTCCTGCTGTACAGCAGATCATTGCTGTGTGTTTGCTGAGCCTGAGGGGAGCACATGTCTTTCACACTGCTGTGATAACTTCATCAGACTGTTTTCATGGGGAAAGGTTTACTGTAGCTCAACAAAATGTTCAGCTGCTGTATATATATATATATAGGTAGTCCAGGCAGCAAAGTCCTTTGTTTATCTGACTTGCAGTCAGTGTCTTTATTTAAAAGGTTGCGATAAAACAGAAAACAAATCCTTGCCACCCAGGCCCTGACTAAACAGGAAGGTTTCCTATCTACCAGGGGGTGAGCTTATCTCAGCCACCTCACAAAACAAACGGAATGCCTCTCTCTTTCTCCCACGCCTCTCTTTCTTCCACTTCTCTCTTTCCCATGTCTCTCACTTTCTCCCATTTCTCTTTTTCCTATGTCTCTCTCTTTCTCTCATTTCTCTTTCGAACATGTCTCTCTTTCTCCCACGTCTCTCTCTTTCTCCCACGTCTCTCTCTTTCTCCCATTTCTCTTTCTCCCATGCCTCTCTCTGTCTCCCCTATCTCAATCTCCACTGTCTTTCTGTCCCCATGTAAATGATAGAAATGTCACCAGCACACCGGTCCTTTTAGGAGAGCATAAGCTTCATTTATTGAAGTTCTTTGTTCATATGACAAAGAACTTCAATAAATGAAGCATTTGATCTCCTAAAAGGACCGGTGTGCTGGTGACATTTCTATAATTTGCTGATATTTGTGGCGCCATCCGCAGTCACTGCGAGCACCCCCCACTACAAGGGACTTATCTGTAAGGAGTGCAACAAGGATAGTTTTAATTTCTCTCGTCATGTATGTGCTCCCCTCTCTCTTTCTTCTTCCGTGTCTCTCTCCTCTCTTTCTAGTTTTTTTGAATATATTACAGGTATTTACATTACACGATTTATGCAGCTCTTTACATAGTGCACCTTCACATTAGTCCCCCTTTTCCCCTTTCCTTTCCACTGATGGTTCCTATGCAAATACAGACTATAATAAAGTCTGTATTTGCAAATATTTAGCTAAGCTCTCCCATCTGATGGCTTTCACACTTTGTAGTTAAGAGAAATGTTATGCACACTCCGTAGCAGTGAGTGTGTGAGGTCAGGCTATTGGTTATATGAGACGTCTGACGCTCATGAAAATGTGAGTCTTTCATACCTAAGCCTACATAGTTATGATATTCCGCCTCACGCATAAACACGACTTATGACTGGTTCTCTTTAATATCCCTCCAGGGGACATTTTTTCTCCGAAACGCCAGCTGTGTTCCCTCCTAACCTGCGAGGCAGCGGCTTTCATATTTTCCTTTAAACGCACTGCTGGTATCAAACCAGAACAGAGATGCCAAGTAAGGGAATTTCAACTGGCACCGTTGCTTATTTCGTGGCCCACATCCCTCCCGCTATCATTCAGCGGAGGGGCCTCGGCCGGCGGCTGTTCTATAAGAATGTAAATGAGAATTTTCAGAAGTGAGATGATGTAAACACTGACTTTGAAATGCAAATCTTGGTACAGAATTGTGATTTATCATACTAGAAAGGAAGAAATATGGATCATTTTTGCAGAGCTGACATTTGAAGCACATCAAACGGGAGGGAAAACCTGTTAGTGATTTATATTTTCATGACAGCGCTTATAAAAAGTATAAATAGAGGGAACGGGGCTCCGTCCCTTGTGGAAATTGTACAGTTTCATGAATTCTGAATGAATAAGCACCTGGTAGCACTTACTTTTTACTGCGTTTACATGAAATGGGGCTTTTACAATAGGAATACATTATTTTTGCTTCCCATGTAAACAGCCAATGTGAGTGTAATCCTAGAAATGAATCGAGGTGTGCAGGGCAGAAAGAAGGAAGCTCCAGTATGTGGCCAAAAGCTTGAGGACACTTCACTGTCACACCTTTATGAGCTCGTTGGACATCTCATCCCAAAACCATGGACACTAATATGGATTTGGGCCCCTTTGTATCTCTAACATCTCCACTTTTCCAAAAAATGCTTTCCACAAGATTCTGGAGTGTCTGTGGAAATGTATTCCCATTCATTTACAATACTAGTTTGAAGATCTGGCTTGCAGTTGGTGTTTCAATTCAACCAAAATGTATTTAGTAGCGTTGAGGTCATTGCTCTGTGCAGGTCACCTGAGTTCCTCTACATCATGGGTAGCCAAACTCCGGCCCTCCAGCTGTGGGGAAACTACAAATCCCATGATGCATCTCTCTCCGGGACTCGTGGCTGTGAGAATCTTTCAATGCCTCATGGGATTTGTAGTTCCACCACAGCTGGAGTTTGGCTACCCCTGCTCTACACCAAACTCATCAATCCATGTCTTTTGTGGAGCTGGTTTTGTGCACAGGGGTACAGTCATGGTGGAACAGAGAAGGGCCTTCACCAAACTGTTATCAAAGGCCGGAAGGGCACAATTGTTCAAATTGTCTTTGTATGCTGTAGTATTAACGTTGCCCATGACCAGAAACAGATCAACTGCATTGGAGGGGTAAGTGTGGTGGCCATATAGAAGATGTGCTGGCCTTATAGTAGATGTGCTGGCCATATAGTAGATGTGCTGGCCATATAGTAGATGTGGTGGCCATATAGTAGATGTGGTGGCCATATAGTAGAGATGATGGCCATATAGTAGATGTGCTGGTCATACAGTAGATGTGCTGGCCATACAGTAGATGTGGCGGCCATACAGTAGATGTGGCGGCCATACAGTAGAGGTGGCGGCCATACAGTAGAGGTGGCGGCCATATAGTAGATGTAAAGGTCATATGTAGATGTGATGGTCGTATATATCCAGTGAAGACTGCTGTCACTAGTTTGCCAAGTTTCGTATATAGAAAACACGCATGCTAAAAAAGATAATTTATATGATGGAAATGGACAAACAATTGCAGCTTTACAGACCAGTTTTCCTACAAAAGATCCCGGGGAGCAGCAATTTGACTCTTGCTGGCCTCATACATTGAGTTTACATGTGATCGCTGAATCAATCAGTCATTGGGATGTCGAGAATGTTCAATGAGACGCAAAAGCACTTTGTGAAACCTTCCTGGTGGCTTTTAATGACAAATGTCGGCAGGAAGCTGGCAGCTGCTGCTCTAATAACGTGTTTTACGTTTCATCTACTGGGGTTTTCTTCAGCTTTTACTTTTAACTAGAGTGAGGAAGAGTTAAAGCCGAACCCCAGGCACCTGTTGCCATTTAAATGTATTCCTCAATAGCCACATAGTCTTAAAAAACATTAACGTCCATGTTGAGGGCACCAAACTCATGTATAAACCTCCTTATTGTCTTGTTAAAATAGTGGTGACATCATTACTGTGCTGTACATAGCCTTAGCAAAGCTGTGGGAGGGGCCCAACAGGCTCCACCCACTATAGGCTGCCTGCAGAAAACTACTGGAGGGGGCGGGAGTCAAGGCCAGTCACCCTGCACAAGGGGAGAGAGCAGCAGTAACCGGTCTTTATTGCAAGAAGGGGCAAAGACGAGACTAGTCACCCTGCACTAGGAGAGAAAGCCGCAGTGACCGGTCTTTGTTACAGGAGGGGGCAGAGACCAGACAGGTGGAGTCACCGGAATAGGCAGGAACAGTCAAATTAGAAGCATTGGCAGGAGTTCTAACCCCTCCCTATGGCAGCACTCTCACAAGTTCCCCTTTATAACCTGTTCTATTTTTCCCCACAGGTGACGGAAGAGGAGCAAGCGGCCAATCACACTGTGATGATCCAGGAAGCCTTGCAGCAGGCCTCCATCGGGCTGGGGGAGCAGCACCACCTAGTCGTCTCTTCGGATGAAGTCGAGGGCATCGAAACCGTCACGGTGTACACACAAGGGGAGGAAGCCTCGGAGTTCATCGTTTATGTCCAGGAAGCCATGGAGCCTGTGGCAGATGGTACAATGGAGCACATCTTACAAGAAATATGAGACAGCTCTGGGAAATAAGACGACCTATCAGTGCTTCTTCAGTTTACACTGAAATGAAGGTATCCCCTGGCACAGAGTCCCATTGTACCCCGAATCTCACAAAGCCAAACTGAAGAAGAGTAGCGCAATATGGCAACTGTCCCGGGGCGGAATGTCCATCTACACTTCCAGTAAATGCTGAACTCTAGGGAGGTATAAGAGGCGCAGCCAAAGTCAGCTCTGTATTCATTAACCCACACCAAGCAGTATCAGTACCTAAAGATGGCTTGCAGTCCCTGTACAGCAGGGCTCAGGCTGGGAGAACCAGCACAAGGGGCCAATCGGGGCTGCTGCAAGGAGCAGAGAGAAGAGCTCACCAGTCTGCTGCTTCTCCTTTTACTGCCCAGTCACAGGGAGGGGGAATAAACTATCATGTAAAACGGCAGCAAAGAAAGACCAGGTCCCCTTCCCTACCAAAAAGGGCTGTACTGCGTGGCAGGGCTGTATACTTCTCAGGACTGGATGGGCAGGTAAAACAGCTCCCATATATGTATTCCATCTGCGTGTTTGTCTGGAGTTCGGCTTTTAAGTTCATCCCAAAGACCATTAGTAACTGCCTTGGAATGTATTTTATTTTTTTGGTTTAGCAATAACACGACTAATAGGTTTTGAATTTAGCTGGAACTGAACCCGAATTATGTTTACAGAGAAGTTCACGTGTGTGTTTTGCTCCGGTAGGGTTTATACTCCTAGATTTGCTCATTTAAGGGCATTTTTTTTTTGACAAATCTCTGCAGATATGTAAATAAAAAGAAATCAAGTTTCTGTGGATTGTTGTTTCTTTTTTATTACAAAATAAATTGGCCGGTGTACGTCGCCTACATCACATGTCACATGGGGGGGGGGGGTCAGGTATTGGGATTAGTGTATATATCGGACTCAGAAGTAAGTCGAAGGCAACAGGTGTCCATTGAAAAAAGAGTTTGCATTGTAGACTGGTCCGGGATTTATTCACAATGACTTGTATGGAGGAATAAAAGCAACAGGGCAATGGTATTACATTATTCAAAGTGGAACTCTGGGCAACTGTAAAAAATGACAAGTATAATGCACCAACACAGGAGCATGGAACTCCCTTCTCGTTGGCCTACCTCTACACAGGCTGTCACCCCTTCATCTATTGTGAATGTTGCTTCTCATCCACCTCGCCAACTGCCGCCACCCCTCTCTGCCAATCCCTCCACTGGCTTCCATCCCCCACCCCTCTCTTCCCATCTCCAATGGCTTCCATTCACAACCATTCTTTGTCAATCCCTCCATAGGCTTCAATCTCTAACCTTTCTCTGCCAATCCCTCCACTGGCTTCCATGCCCCACCCCTCTCTGCAAATCCCTCCACTGGCTTCCATCTCTCACTCCTCTCTTCCAGTCCCTCCACTGGTTTCCAATCCCCACCCCACTCTGCCAATCTTTCCATTGGCTTCTATCCTCTACCCCTCTCTGCCATTTTCTCCAATAGCTTTTATTTGCCATCTCTCTGCCAATCTCCTCCTAGCTTTCACCACCACCCGCTCTGCCAATCCCCTCCACTTGCTTCCATTCCCCACCGCTCTGTGCCAATCCCTCCACTGGCTTCCATACCCTGCCCCTCTTTGCCAATCCTTTCACTGATTTTCATTTCCCACCTCTTTCTGCCTGTTCCTTCACTGACTTCTATCCCCCTCCCTTATCTGCCAATCCTCCACCTTTCTCTGCCAATCCCCTCCACTAGCTTTCATCCCCCACCTTTCTTTGCCATCCCTTCCACTGGCTTCCACTCACCCAACCTTTCACTCATCTCAATTCTAAATACTAACAACAAACACCCCCATTCACAACTCTTCCCTGAGCTACATCACCACCTTTCTCCAAATATCACCCAAACCCTCCTCTCTGCTCCTCCCAAGACCTCCTGTTCTCTAGCTCCCACGTCACCTCCTCCCATGCTCACCTCCTGGACTTCAGAGCCTCTCCCATGCTCTGGATCTCCTTACCCCAACCTTTACAGCTATCTCCTAATCTGCTTTTAGGCAATCCCTAAAAACTCACCTCTTCAGGGAAGCCTATTCCACTTCTACCTAAAAACTGTACATCTACTTCTTCCGTCAGTTCAGCCCTCTGAGTTTTTACTTTCTGTATCACTTTCCTCTCCGTGTAAGGTGTAAGCTCTCAGGAGCAGGGCCCTTCTAATCATATTGTATTATAACTGTGCTGTCTCCCCTGAATTTATAAAGCACTGTGCAAACCATTGGCACTATATACATCCTTATTAAAATTAATGAACAGAGGCAGACATGCTTATAGTCCAGCCAGGGTGACACCCATGGCTCACTCTATAGATACATGCTTATTGTCCAGCCTGGGTGACACCCATGGCTGCCTCTATAGATACATGCTTATAGTCCAGCCTGGGTGACAACCATGGCTCCCTCTATAGATACATGCTTATAGTCCAGCCTGGGTGACAACCATGGCTCCCTCTATAGATACATGCTTATAGTCCAGCCTGGGTGACAACCATGGCTCCCTCTATAGATAGAAGCTTATAGTCCAGCCTGGGTGACAACCATGGCTCCCTCTATAGATACATGCTTATAGTCCAGCCTGGGTGACAACTAGAGATGTACCGATACAAGCATCGGTATCGGGACCGATACAGGGCATTTTGACAAGTACTTGTACTTGCCAAAATCCACTGATACAAAGGGCTGAAGCTTGCGCTATATTTCGTTTTGTTTTTTTACTTACCGAGCGTCGCGTCACTGCTGCTCCGGTGGGCGGCACTCCAGGCAGTCGCCGGCCACCTAAATTAGGACCCCACCTCTAGCGACGCCCACCGGAGCAGCATTGACGTGACGCTCCTCTCCAGCTCAGCGCCGACGACGTCCTGAGGCACCGCGATCGAGGCAACAGTGAGTAAGACGGGGCTTACTTTTTTGTGTGAACAAGAACAATCTACTGCTGCAGTGCATTCTGTATATGTGCTACATATAGAATGCACTGCAGCAGTAGATTTACAATTATCCTCTGCTAATATGAAGGGGTTAAATGATCCGTAGTACAGCTACATGTTATGTACTATGAATCATTTAACCCCTTCATATTAGCAGAGGATACTTTTAAATCTACTGCTGCAGTGCATTCTATATGTACTGTATATGTACTACATATAGAATGCACTGCAGCAGTATTTACAATTCTGCAGTGCGGGGAAAGCCCCACTGCAAGGGTTAGTTCTGTAATACCTGGAGTTCCTTTTTAAAGGCATCAAGAAAGCTGCTCAAAGCTTACTAAAAGCTTTTTAAATGCCGTGTACTGGCTTGCAGTACACACTACTCTTGATCAATCTGAAGCCGGTATGCACCAGGCCTGCCAGAGCCTCTCACTTTGATCAAAGTACAATATCCCTTTAAGCCGGGAAGTCTCATATATCACTGTCGAGCTCACCTATGGCAATTTATGGCTTGACTGCCTCTCATTAGATCTCAGCCGTTGCGATTCCTCCAGACTGTACCGGCAAATTGCCGCCCCGCTAACTAACCATTACAAATTTCAGCAAGATTAAATAGAAAAAAAAAAAAAGAAACTTAATTAGCAAACGTGTATAAAAAAAGATTTCATTATCTTCTGTCCGAGAGGAAATTGCTAAAGATGCTACTGTTATTTCTCTTTTAATGAGTCAATTTTACAAAGATCGTTCCTTCTGTCGTTCTCTATATTTCCAGCAATGTGTCATAATGGCGAGTCGGAGTCTCAGGAACTCGCCGATGGTTTTATTGGACAGATGCTGCATTTAGGGGGATGAAAAGTTCCAACTTTGATCAAGGATGGGTACATCAGTCCTCGGTTTAACAAAGCATCATCGGCTAACCCGGTGTCCATGAAACATTCGGCACAGCAACGTGTTTTTGTTCCTCCGGTAAAGTACACGTTTAAGAGTTTCACGCAACAGAGACTTGTTAATGGAGAAAAAACCCCATAATAATAGACGGAGAACTGTATAATGAAAGTAGAATACATCACGCTGAGGCCGTATTGTCTTCAGTCAAAAAAAGAGTGGCAAAACTGCTGCTTTGTAATATATTGCATGTGAAAGCTGAAGGTTTATCTGCATATACACTGAGTGGCCACATTATTGTGACCACCCCATCAGTACTTCGTTGGGCCATGAGATGACTTGGTTGGGCCGCCTCGTGACTCCACGAGATGATGAAAGGTGATGCGAGGAATCTGACATGGCACTGTTGCCCTTCTGTTGTCTTGTACCAGTCTTGCCACTCTCCGTTCTGCCCTAACATTGACTAGTCGCTGACGGCCACAATTCGCACGTTCAGGCCCAGATTTTCGGCTGACAGTCCAGTCTTTAAACACTTTAACAACAGCTGCTCTTGACATTTAACGAATTCTGCTGTTTTGCTGATATTCGCTCCATGGCTCCGAGCGCCAACAATCATCCCACGTTCAAAGGCTGTTAAATCGTGTTGTTTCCCCGTATCTTCAGAAACCAATCACTTCTACTGTCGTGGTAAACAACCTGCTTCCCTATTTATAATGGTCTGGCCCTCTAGCAACTTCAGCGCGAAATTATAGCTAATTTGCCTACAAACGTCAGGTGGTCATAATAAACTGGCCACTCAGTGTATGATCAACACAATATGGGGTGTTATGGTAGGTGTAGATACGAGTGTAGATAATGTAGAATCAAAAATTGAAAGAATTTTTACTTCGCCCAGGTGTGTAAAACCTTGGAGGGAAGCGGGCTTTCCAGACACTCGATCTTCAATCTCAATATTTTAAAGTTAAAACAGTTTATTGGTTTCACAGCTAAAGATTTGTTAAAAAATAAAAGCCTTAAAAAGATTTTACAGTTTGTCCAAAGGTCCACATAGACAACAGATTGGGTAATTCCATGATATACAACACTGTCCACATGGTTTCAATGTCCATAAGTCTTTTCCAGGATCCTTGACATGTTTCGCTGTCACATGGCTTCCTCAGGATGATTTTAAC